GAAAGAGAAGCAGAGACAAACACAGGAAGGGGCAGACAACTACCTTTTTCAATAACTATGTGTTAGATTTATGAAACAAAATTACACTTTTGGTTACAATTTTATAAAATTACCATCAGTTGAAGAATTAGTTTCCACTTTTATCTTAGATTTTTCAAGATCTTCCTTGTATTCTCTTTTAAGCAGCTTTACTATCTTTTTGCTGTAACTTGATTTCTTCACTTTAAAGACTTCTTCAGTTTCTTTAAAAGAGAAATAAAAGAAATTATAAACAGAACAAAAAGACAGTGGAATATCTTTTCCAGCTATACAAGAGTTGCTGTTTTCAGACTGTAATTGTATCATGCACACATCAAACAAGATTGATGGCCCTCAGGCTCACACACCACAAAGACAAGGCACAAAAGGAAAGAGAAGTAGAAGGAAGAGAGAGATCAGTCTGATCATGTCTGACTCAACTGAACAACAGGCTAGCCTTCCCTTTCCTCTGGTGTTTTTCTCCTGCCATATAGGGTGCAGTCTCCTAAGGCCCTAGTGTGGGCAGAGGCTAGTGTGTCCTTCTTCAGTCCCTGGGCAAGTGATAAACTCAGAGAAAATGCTATATCAAACTAACTGTTGAATCTGCTTGGTCAACAATAGTTCTGGAAAACTGATCTGCTCTGCTTTCTATAACAGCAGTTAATCCATTCAACAGCAGAACTCTGACTAAATCACTTACTGATCACAGTAAGGCAACAAGCCTTACTTAGCATTCATTAATTACAATGGGTTCCAAGAAGCCCTGTAATGCTCCAAGATGCAGTGTATCCTTGCAACATTCTTCTAGATCTTTAATCGTTTGCTGCAATAGTTAAAAGTTTTCCCCTCATTTATTTTAAAAGGTGGATTTCTAAACTTTATACACAGAAAATCTAAAACAAGACCTTTGAAAACAGGTCAGAATCCAAATTTAGTAAACATAATTCTGAACTTAAATATTTAAGTTCCTGAACAAAGGCGATTGTATAGCATCAGCCCTTCCCTTCTTCTCTTTGTACTCGGGACTCAAAACAAGAGCTAAGTTAACTTTGATTTAGATTTGATGAAGATGGACTGCTTTTTACAAGTCTTCCACTTGGGCTCAGACAACATCTACAAAGCCAATGCATACTAGTTGTGAATAACGGGGAGGGGGGAATGTCCTTCAAATACAAACAAGCAGTAAGACTGTTGCAGATCCATATTTCCATATATTTTCAAGGAAAAGATACTTATTTCTACACACTTTATAACTGATGTGCCACAGGAGATGTTTGTTCCAAAATACAGTCTTTACAGACATGGCTCTTACAAGGTCTCAGTAAAACAATATGAATACCTACATCCAAAGTGAATCAGACTTAACATAAGACCCAAACCTCCCTTGATTCGAAAGACAGGAATTTGAACATCATAGTCATATTCCACAAGTGCAGCTTGTTCTAAGGCACACTTACACATACTTGCTCCATACAATCCATAGGAACAGAGGTGTTAACCTATTCAGGTCCTGCATACAGGTAGACATTATACAGACTAATGTAGGCCTAGGAGTTTCCCACTAAGGAAATGTACCAGCAAATGAAATTTGGGCTGGGAAAATGAGTGTGATCTTGCCAAAATCCCAACTTGCTACTTTTTGGCTTCCCTATTTTATGGCTGATTATAGTTTTGCCTCAAAAGGTTCAAAACAAACAAAAAGATTAGTTTAATTTGCTCTAGTTCTAGACTCATCCAAACAAACAGTACCATCCAGACTGACTACTCCCGCATTTAAAACAAACATAGAATCAGAAAGCACATATTTCCTTTCAGGACCTCTTCTGTGACAGCCACAGGAAGTTAGTAATGAAGACTGTGGAGCTAGCACAGGCCTTATACTGGTTAGCATCAGTTGCATATTACAGCAGGGAGATTCACTACACAAACAGTGCAGCAAAACAGGGTCATCTGAATATTTCATTAATTGAACAAGATAATGAGCAAATTCAAACAGAAGCCACTGTGGCACATTCCCGTGGTCCTCTAATAGCATTTGTGAGAACTGTGAATAGATTTTTTATTTATATTTACATTTATATCCCCCCCTCCCCGCCATTTGGCAGGCTCAGGACGGCTAACAACATCAATAAATATACATTAAAATTCCAGTTAAAACTGTCACTCAATATAAAATAATACTATATAAACATCATTTACAATAAAAGATGGCAGTCTTCTAATATCAACTGTCAACTGAATGGTGTTATCAGGCTCCCACCCAGCTATGAAGCCTCAGTTGGTGGTGCCGTTGGAACTGTTGGTACAGCTGGTAGTAGGGCCAGGGCCATGAAATCGAGGCGCCACCCTACTTAAAAGCCTGGCGGAAGAGCTCCGTTTTACAGGCCCTGCAGAACTGTAAGAGGTCCCACAGGGCCATGATGTCCTCTGGGAGCTTGTTCCACCAGTGAGGGGCCACCACAGAAAAGGCCCTGGCCCTCATTGTAACCAACCTGGCCTCTTTAGGCCCCAGAAGAGCCAGGCAATTTTGGGAACCCAATCTCAGTGCTCGCTGGGGTATGTGTGGGGGAAAGGCAGTCCCTTAGCTAAGTGGGTCCCTGGCCATAAAGGGCTTTAAAATTAAGAACCAGTACCTTGAACTGTATCCCGTATGCTATAGGCAGCCAATGCAGGGTTTTTAGGGCGGGCTGGATGTGTTCCCGCATCAGAAGACACAACAACAGCCTTGCCGCTGCATTCTGCACCAGCTGCAGCTTCCAGATTTGGGAAAAGGGCAGCCCCATGTAGAAAGCATTGCAGTAATCCAATCTTGAGGTGACCAATGCGTGGATCACTGTTGCTAGGTCACTGCGTTCAAGGAAGGGAACCAACTGCTTAATCAGCCATAGATGGTAAAAGGCCGACTTTGCAGTGGCTGCTACCTGGGCCTCCATCGTTATGGCGGTATCCAGGAGCACTCCCAAACTCCTAACCTCGGGCGCTGGCACCAATTGTGCCCCATTGAAGGTTGGGAAAGGGATCCCTAACCTTGGACCGCTCTGACTGAGGCACAGGACCTCCGTCTTCATTGGATTCAATTTCAGTCGGCTCTGTCTAAGCCAACCAGCCACGGCTTTCAATGCCAGGTCCAGATCTCTCGGACTAGAGTGTGACTGGCTGTCCAACAACAGATTATCTCCCAATATCACCATAAACTCAGCCTAGGGACAAACGGTTTCATCAAACAATATCTTTACCTTTGGCTTCAAACAGAACTACTACTTATTATCGAAAGGCACAAACTAATTTCAACAATTTTCCTTACTGAACTATGAAAAAAGGCGAAGAAAGAATTACGCTTTAGCCTCCCCTCTTTTAAAATACATGGAAGCAGCAATCAGGAAGAGATTGGCTCAACTCCATATTTCAAAGGAAACAGCAGTATTTCAAAATGTGTGTCTTATTCTGACCCTAGGAATTCACTCACTATGAAAAATCTAGTAACAGCAGTTCTCAGAGATACTCCCTGTATCTTCTGCAGTTTTTCCATGATACAGGTATTTAATGTTTATTGCAAATGGAGTACATGCATTCTTGTGTTCATGCATCAAATGTCACTGCCAAAGCATATTTTGTGGAGAAAAGCAATCTCTATTTCATTTAAATGAGAAATATTGTACTTGAACATGCTATTTAAACTAATACATGTACAATCCCTTCACAGAAGCATCCCATGAAAAGCAACTAAGGTAGGAATGCAGAATAATGAAATCCAATGACACTTCTGAATAAATCCTAATCAGGACCATTCTATAAATGTTCCAAGCAACTACTGCAGCAGGGAACTGGGATACAGCAGTGATCCACAGTGCGACCATAGTGTGCCCATCTATAGATTCCCTGACAGCAATTTCCTTCTTCCACAAATCAAATAGCAAGTCCTGGCTTTAGACAACTTTGTGTCTTCAAATAACACACTGAATCAAAAACAGCTGCCTCCAGGACAATGCCTGGTTCGCAGTCTCCCAATATTCTGGGATTGGCACCAATACCCCATGGTGCCCATTTTGTAGCGGCACCCAATTCTCAAAACTGCCCCGTCTCAATAAACTGGTTCTGTCCTGGAGAGTAAAGAGTAACTGGAGAAGGCCATCATCACGAGCGATAAGTTCGGCTAACGTCACCACAACCAGCAGAGACGACCAGGTACGTGGAAGAGGAAAAGAGAGACGCAACAGGCGGTGCGGGATGGGACCCAGACAGGAGAAGGAGCGGGCCACGCTTGCTCACTTACCCTCCTCTTCGTCTTGGAAGCTGAGGAGCTTGACGCTCCCGCGCGACGGAGGCCCCCCCGCTTCCTTGCTCTTGTTCTTCCGATCCTTAACCTTATTTTTGGCCGTTGTTTCCAGGCGGGAGCTGTGGCGGGGGGGCAGCCGCCACCGCCGCCGGGTGTTGGAAAGGAGGGGGCGGCGGCAGAACAGGCGGCGGGGCCGTCAAGACTGGGCTTCCCCGGCCAACTGCATCGGCACCGCCGAAAGCGAAGCCACTGGGCCCCCCACCGCCACCAGCGGGAGAGACGAGAGGGACGCAGCCAGTCGGGAGCGGCAGGAGGGGCAGCTTCGGAAGTGGCGGAGCGGCCTCCCCCGCAGGCCCATCTCCACCTGGCGGCGGCGGCAGTGACTGTGGCGGTTCCTCGTCCCGCTCTTCGTCCTCCTCCTCCGACTCGTTCCGCTTCCGCACATTCACGCGCCGCGCCTTGCGGAACATTCCTGCCTCGGCCCAACGGCCACCGATCCTAGAGGCTGCCAAGGAGGAGAGCGAGCGAGCGAGCGCGCGAGTACCGCAGCAAGCCCAAGAGCGCGCGCCGCAACTCACTTGTCCCCTGCGTTCGCAGCAGCCACCGCAATATGGTAACCCAGGAGTAGTTACAGCGCCATCTGCTGCCCACCACCAATTTGGCCCTCCCAGCTTCCCGTCATGGGCGCGGAGAGAAACAGTCGACTCGAAGTACCACAAAGTTCACGTCAAGGATAGAGCGCCTAGTCGTGGCCACTATTGACGACACAACAGCGACAGCACAGGTAGTAGTTAGTAGCCATCTTGAGTCTGATGAAACGGAAGAGGTCTGTCACGTGGAAGGTTAAACATCTAGACTCGAAGTTGCCTCTGGTTTTTAAGAGTGGGGAAAACCGCAGTGCGCGCGCAAGTGGGGGTGTTTGTTTTTTTAAGTCTTCTGGCGTGAAGGTCATTGCTGTTTGGCTCCTTGTCTTTTTTCTCTCACTTTTTAAAAAATAGTAACGCGACGAGGACTGATTCTCTTGTGCTTGCCCAGCTAAAGTAGAATCTGGAGGTACATGTGACGGGTCCCTTAGCTTTCTAAATTTTCATCAGGTTCCTACAGCTGCGTTTTTGACAATGGTGTGGTCTGATGTATTTAATTCTGGACCTTTCCCGCATACGGGGGATGAATACAGAACTGCTTACTTCACTGCAGCTCCCTCTCTCCTCAACTTACCTTTGCGGAGAGAGCTTGACTAAGGTTAAAAGTGCCTTGGGGGACAGACTTGGGGGAAAGAAGTAGCAAGGAAGGGGTAGCCCTACCAGACAGCCTTTCACTATTAAAAGTCCCCCATCTTTCATCTTCCTGTGTGACTGGAGCAGATCTAGATTTGAACAAACTGCTCTGTTGTGATTTTTTATTTGTTTATGTTTGTTTATAGTCCACCTTTTCCACTAAGACTCAAGATCAGGGCTGTAGCTGATGGTGGGGCGCATGGGGCTGCATCCCCTATTGAATCTGCAGCACCCCACCCCAGTCTCCCCCTTTTAATTCTGAATTTTGGTGCTGACGCCTTGCCTTGGCCCGCCCTCTTCACGCAGGTGCCTGCCAGCCCTCCTCTGCCTCAGACCTGCCTGCCTCGGCTGGCCCACCCAGGCTGCACACCAGTGCTGACGCCTCACCTTCAGATGGCTGGGGTGTTGGAGGAGACACCAGACAGCAGAGAATGTGCCTGACTTTCATCCCTCATCCTTCCCAAAATAAAAGCCCCCTCTTGAATGTGTTCCCCCCCCCCATTTTTCTGGCTACAGGCCTGCTCAAGGTGTATTTAGGGATGCCAGCCTGCAGGAATCCCCTGGTTTTACAGCTCATCTCCAGGCTACAATGATCAGTTGCCCTGGAGAAAATGGATGATTTGGAGGGTGGACTCTATGGCCCTGTACTCCACGGAGGTCCCTGTCCTCCCCAAGATCAATCTCCAAATCTCCAGGAATTTCCCAACCTGAATCTGGCAACCCTACCCCCCATCCCCCACCTGTGCGCAACCCTAGTCACCATGGATTACATAGTGTAAATTGAATACAATCAAACAGGTTGCAACATCCAGTACAGTGCAATAGGGTTTGTATTGCAAAGGTCTGAAGACAAGAAGAAATCTGAAACAGGTGAAACAAAACCTGAAAGCATAAACATTTAAACATGACACATTAAACAACACAAAAATTATATAGTGGGAGCATACTTAGAGCAACAGAACACAGGAGTATAGTCCACAAATTCTGTCTCTTTACCAAAACACCTTTCTGGACCCATTCGTTACAGCGTAGCCCTCTTACCCGCATAGCCCTCTTACCTCTGTATTGCTTGAATAAAGTCAGGATGCTAGGAATCTTCCTAAGCACATTGGGCAGCCCATTCTATAAGGTGGGGGCCACAACCGAGAAAGCATGTTGATTTGCCCATTTGCAGGGTAGCACCTGCAGAAGGCCCTGACCTGGATGACCCAGAGTACCCTGATCTCAGAAACTGAGCAGGGTTGGCCATGGTTAGTACTTGAATGGGAGACCGGAATAGGGTTCTTATGCAGAGGCAGGCAATGGCAGACCAACCTTGTTTGTCTCTTGCCTTGCCATAAGTTAGCTGTGACCTGATGACATTTTCCACCACCACTATTCTGCACTGTTGTAGCAGAATATAAGGAAAGAGGCAGTGTTGCAGATATGATGGACCAAGGCTATGAAGGGCTTTGTTTGTGATAGCCAATAGGCAGCCAGTGGAGTGATTACAGAATGGGGTAGTTTGGTCCACAAAGGCATAGCTTCAAGGTCTGGTTAGATCTGCATGTAGTGTTAGGGGGAGTTTTCAAAATCCTAATATAAAGATTCACTCAAGACTTTAGGCTACCAGAGCATGCAGTTTCAATAAGATGATCATCCTGATGTAAGCAGAAAAAGAACAAGCTGGCATACTGAACAAGATTCAAAGTTCTTCTTTTGTAGGATGAAACAGACAAAAGGCTGGGGACTAGAATTCCAAAAGAAAGTTCACCAATTCCATTTTCAAACATAATTCACTTTTACCCTCCTTTCAGAGTATGCCCTGCATTCTTACTATGGGGAAAAAAAATAAACCCTTTATGCATTTTTCATGAGAGATAAGGATGGAATGGACCCTTGACTGACATAAGAGATTAGTAGGCCGAAGAACAGATTTACAATGGGTGTGTGTGTGGCAGTTTAGGGAGGAATATAACATCTTTAAATATCAAGTCAAACATAGGCTCACAATTTAGAGGCCATTATAAGAATCTCAATCTTGCTTGACATTCAAGATACATGTAAAATTCCTTAACACATAGCTTCAAGGATAGTAAAGGTAAAGGTTTCCGTTGTGCGAAAGCTAGTCGAATCCGACTCTAGGGGGCGTTTCCAAGCTGAAGAGCCAGCACTGTCCAAAGACTTCTCTGTGGTTATGTGGCTGGCATGACTAAACACCGAGGCACTCTGTTACCTTCCCACCAAAGTGGTACCTATTTATCTACTTGCAGTTTCTTGCTTTCGAACTGCTAGGTTGGCAGGAGCTGGGGCCAGAGACAGGAGCTCATTCCATTACGTGAAGCAAGAGTTCCAAAGGAGAACAACTGGACACTCAAAGAGAGTTACGCGGCATGAATCTAACATCATAGATACGAAGTTGTACCTACAACATAACTTGAGATTCAGTGTGGTGTAGTGGTTATGAGTGCCAGAGTACTGTCTGGGAGAACTAGGCCTGAAGCCCCACTTGTGCTGTGAAAGCTTGCTTGCGTGACCATGAGCCTGTCATTCTCTCTTAGACTAACCTACCTGAAAGGGTTGTTGAGAGGATAAAATGGAGGAGAAGAGAAAGATGTAAGCTGCCTCGAGTCCCCATGGAGGAGAAAAGTGGGGTATAAATGAATTAAACTTTTGCTTCATGTTTTTGGTAGAGTCCATACAGTCTGCTGCTGTTCCTTAGTTGTAAACAGTCATCAAGGTGCAGTCAAGTGAGTTATATTTACATATGAACCAAGTCTAGAATTTTCTCCATTTTACAACATGACTGTACTGTCACCTTAAGTAGCACTGTTACTTGAAATCTACTGTTCCAGCACTTTATTAGATCATTGTTCCAGCACTTTATAATGATTGATAATTGAGTTGTTTATGGTTGTTTTATGACTGGTTTTATTGTACTTATAATTGTATTTATATATGGAATTTTATGTAAGCTGCTCTCAGCCTGCCTCAGTGGGGAGGGCGGAGTCTAAATTGATTGATTGAATGAATGAATAAATAAATTTTATGTACTTAATATGCCATCTCCTACCCCCCACCCCTCCACAGATAGTTTGTTTTGATTCAAGGGCTCATCTCTGATTGGCCCTGTTCAGCCTGTTGTTTTATTTGCACTTTAAGCCATCTTGAGTTCTGCAAGGTAGATAGACAGCTAATAAATGTTTTAGATAAATAAAAGGTTAAAAAAGTGCAAGGTGTGCTCCTGTTGTTACTAAATTATTATAGCTATATATCTTGGGTTATTCTAGTAGTGTTCACGTGCTTTCAGCAGCTGTATAACAGGCAAATATTCAGAAGTCACAGACCCATGTTCAAATCCCTGTTCAGCCACGCAGCTCACCTAGTGATCTTAGGCCGATCACTCTCAGTCTAGCTTACCTCACAGGGTTATTATAAAGATAAAATGGAGAGCTCCTTGGATCAGGGCTGGATTAAAATGCTGTAGATAAACAGAGGGAGTGGTTTCCAGGCAAGCTTGCATTTTAATATGTTTTGTTCAGAAATCAAGATGTTTTCTTTACTTGCCTTGTTTTCCTTTCATGTCTCTGCTTTATCTTTTTTGAACACTAGGGGACAGTAGAATCTTAATGTATTCACTTTCCTCTTGGCTTCTAGTGATTCCAGTTCTTCTAAGTGATACAGTGCAGGAATAACTCACCAAAGGATTTGGTTTATAAAACACTGTTAAATTAAAGACTACCAATTAGACAGAATTCTTAGATCCCAAATGTATTTCAAGGATATTTAATGAAGCCCAGTAAAAACTTTGTGCATGGATTATCTTCTTAGTGCTTTGAGAATACCTCTGTACTGACTTTGTGGATGTATTTCATTGATTAAAATTGTAATTCACAAAACCTCTGAAAGTGAAAGCCATCAGGGTTTTATTAAAACCAGTGTAAGCTGCCCTGAGCCTGCTTTGCGGGGAGGGCGGGGTATAAATTAAATAAATAAATAAAACAAACATGAGAGACAGTGTAGTTCATGGATGGGAGTGTTAGCTGTGGTCTTTGGAATCAAATCCCAGCTCAGGGCCAATTGTTTTTAGGCTATTTCAGCACCATGAAGAACTTGTACTTCTGATTCCCTGATTCCAGATTCTTGAAACTGAATTTGCTTGTAAACAGAACAATCTGATGCTATGCAGCAGTACGCCAGTCAAACAATCAATGGACATAGACTGGAGTTGCTCTGCAGTCGATTGCACTGAAAGTGTGCACAGTGTAAGCCCGCAAGCCTGCTATGGTGTTTTTATGGACTGTGTTACACTGCTATCTGATGAAGTGTGCCAACAAC